TAGCGGAAACTCCCCCCCTCTCTCTCTCTCTCTCTCGTGCCAAAAATCTTATAGGTTGAGTTGGATCTTTTCTAATAGATCTCTTTATCTCTAAGTAGAAATGATGATCCATTTTCTTGTGACCGACTGATCCAGTTTTCCTCTCTACTGTTCCCTCTTTTTTAAACTTATTCACCATTCTCTTGATGGTTCTTGAATGAAATTTGAAGATGGAAGCCAGAGTATGAATGTTGGCACCATTACTGAAGGCCTCTCACCATTGCTTTGAGAAGACAGCGGGGCTGAGACAAAGCGATTTTAACCTGTTCTCTTTCTAGCTGAATAACTGAAAGGGCTTTTCAGTGATTCTTACGACAAATTGTATCAAGATGGCTAAAAATCTTATTTGAAAATCTGGAAAAAGAAACTCAATTAGTTTAGTGGTTTTTTTTTTTAGATATTAAACATTTTGTGGGATAGACAATTATGTTGTAACGCGAATTGGACAATTTCGCTGTTACATCCGGTATATATTTCTTTATATATTGGGTATATATATATTTCTTTTTTATTACTAAAAACGTTATTTATATTTATTTATAGTTATTACTATAAACGTTATTTTTAATACGTACAGATGTTTGAATTTAGTTAGTTTTTATTAATTTCATTGTTTAATAAAATATAAAACAGGAATAACAACACAAGCAGGTGTACCCACTAAAATAACGTTTATAGCCATAAGAAATAATGTCGGATAAAAATTTATTTCAGATATATATCTATATCTATAATTCTTAAAAGGTGTGTGTATGCATGTGTATTTGCGAATGTTGTTTATGTGTTTCCACAGTTTTCATCCGATTTCGATGATTTTTTTTTTTTTGTTTGATAGATAATTTTTCAGTGCCGGTTTTAAGTCCAAATTGGTTGGAAAAAATTACAACCTTGAAGATGAAAAATCGAAAAAACTGATTTTTTACACTTTGCGCAAAAATCAAAGGCAAAATTTAATGTCTTTAAAAACAGCGTAAAATCCATTCAGAGAGTTGAAATCTAACGCAAAAGATTATTAGAATTATAAAAAAAATTATATTATAAATAAAAATTATCATATATTATTATTATGACGGTCCATGGAAGAGGTTCCTTCCTTGCAAGATTGAGAACACAAAAGCGGCCCTTATCAGGCTCCCCCCATTCAAATTGTTACCTCCCTACACATTTGGGGATGTGTCTCAGTTGCACCCAATTGTTTTTATTAATATTGATTTTCGGGTGGGCTGACTTTAAATTTCTTTCTTTTTATGTGCCATGTCCTTTCAGGACGTAGGTGATCATGGCTCTTCACCTACATCTATCCCTTGCAGCTCTTAGCAAGCTCCTTCCCTCTGCTTCCTCCCCCAGACCACGTTCTGTCATCCACCTGCTCAAGCTCGTCAGGAGTATATTCCTGTCTCGCAATACTCTACACAGCTTTAGGAATATGTCCTTGGCCATACGGATCTCAGTGTCGCACAACGTCTTCTGTCAAGACGCTTCCCAGATATTTAAAGTTCCGCGTCCGCTTGATTCTAGTGTTCCCGACCTGCAAATCGCATTTCGGGCTCTTCCTCTTACTGATGATCATGCATTCTGTCTTCTTTTATGCTTAGTCCTTTCTTCTCACTCTCCGTCGCTACCTTCTGTAGGAGATTTTGTAATTTCCGTGTCAAAATTTAAAAAACTTAAACTGCTCCAATTGAAATTCCCAGTAATGAAACACCCGGTCGAAGACGGGTTATACTGCTAGTATATATATATATATATATATATATATATATATATATATATAATAAAATATAGTTTTTAAGGTATGCTCTATTTATGGGATAAAAGTGTTTAACATCAGTGAGATAACTTATATAAACAGTGTGGACATAATATTAACACTGAATAATGACTGTTTCACGCTTAAATTCATTGTTATTCCCAAAAAATGATCAAAGCAATATTCACTCGCAAAAGGAATTATTAGTACAATACAAAATATGTTTCGGCTTTAAATAACTCACAAAGGATTGATAAGCCATAACAAAACCAAATCAATCAATCATCGTTAAACGCAACTCTCAGGCTATTGATCATATCACAGACTAAGTTATAATTGCATTTGTGAAGCTTCGTCACCTATGAAATGAGAAAGTTATGAAATTGGACACCAGTATATAGGTTTATAGAGCAGCCGTTTTGATCACACTGTTGTATCTTTCAGAGTCGTAGATCCCATACAAGTCCCATATCAGTCAGCTGGATGTCTTCCATAAATTTGTCTCTACGCGATCTATGGCTATATTTTTGACGATAGGTGGTCCAATGCTGATCTTCTCACATAATGCAACATTGGTGGAATTGACACTTTCCTGATGCAGTCACAACTTCGCTTGGCTGATTATATTGTAAGGATGAGTGACGATAAAATGCCTAAGGTCCTCGCGTATAACCACCTTGACAATGGACAAAGGATTGTTGGACGGTCCTGGCTCAGGTATGAAGACAAGCAGAGTAACCTCTAAGCTATCAATGTGTCTCATACTAACTTCGAGCGAGTTCCCTGGATATAAATAACTGGAGATATTTGTGCCAGAGTGGTATCAAAAATTTCGAAATCAATCCTATTGACCGGCTAAGAGACGAAAGACAACGCAAAAAGCGTCAGCAAATATTACTGTGGCTATGTCCTAAGATCCTTGCTGATGCACACTATATGTAGTATGCAGGTTACTAGCGGGACTGATGTATCACATACGACACAAACATAAAAACTATGATGTTATCGCATCCTCATACGTCGAAATCGGCAGGAGAATCCGTCATATATATATATATATATATATATATATATATATATATATATATATATATATATATATATATCTCATTTCACAACTTGCTCCATATGTGGCCTCCTTTGTAAATCACTAGCGGGTCTTAAATGCCATTTACGATTATCGCACAAAATTTCATAACTGAATCAATAAGCTGTCAGATCCTCATACGTCGAAACCAACGGGATAGTCTATTATATATATATATATATATATATATATATATGAGATAATGATATATATTTTTGTATATCAAGAACAATATTGCGGGAAAATGTATGACAAAGTGGAGAGAGTTTTCTTGTGACGCGTTTCGTCCTTCAGGACATCATCGGACTAAAACAATACATCAAATGCGTTGGTTCACCAATTTTGGCATAGCAAATGCTACTCTCATCAAAGGAGAAAATAATCCACTACGATGAAAATGTCTAGAGAATGCCTTGATTGCAAGGTCATCCACAGTGAACTTGCGCCTTGGTTCTTACAATATTTCACCATTCCTGGCAGAACTTCTATTATCACAGTGTGGAACATCTACTAACAAAAGTGATGGAAAGTAAAAGAACCTAATGAAATCGGCTAGATGAAAAAAAAAAAAAAAATGAAAAAATCCCAGCATCCCTCTTTCATGCGCATGCGTAGTTACACCAACATAATCAATTCAGTCTGATGAGGTTCTAAAGGAGGAAACGCATCATAAGAAAACTTTTTCCACTTTGTCATACATATATATTTAAACCAAAATTTTATATCAGAAGATTTATATATGGTTTTAAAAATGACGGAGCGCATTCTTTCGAAGGGACTTTTTTCGTCCAACACTTCCTTAGAAAGATACGTTGGAACAACTATAATCAAAACGGTGTAAATGGGTGGTGGGTGGTGAGTAAAAACAATTTTCTGTTTTACATTCAATAGGAGCTTATTTAGACGAATTGGTGTTTTTAGTGATAACTTTATTTTAGTCATGGCTTCTTATTTACTCCCCCCTCCTTTCATCTTTTTCACTTTCGCCGTTTCGATTATTGTTATTCCAACGGAAAAGAAAAAAATTATTTGATCGCATGAGAAATTGTATAGAAAACTAAATCAAAGCACCTTCTCTGTCGTATTCAATGAAATGTTCATATATATATATATATATATATATATATATATATATATATATATATATATATATATATATATATATATATATAGACTTTTTTTCGCTGTATCACAGCGACTCAGTGTAGCTAGACATCCGATCGCTTTTTAAGACCGATTTGGCATTAGTCCGAGTAAAATAGATGCTACTTTGGCTTGCTATCTACAAGGAAAAAAATATATCTACACCGTACAAATTTTATTTTGAAATGATATGCTATTTTATTATTATTTATTATCTTCTCCTTGTAGATAACAAGTCAAAGTAGAAACATGTTTTACTATGTAGATATCATTCCAAAATAAAATTTGTACGGTGTAGATATTTCTTCCTTGTAGATAACAAACCAAAGTAGCTCCGAAGTATTACTTGGTTCTGTCGCTTCCTACTCTAGAGTAGAAACGGAATATCTAATGGGGGACTAACACAGGCAGACATTGGAGGACATAAGTTACCCCCTCCGGCGTATATAAACAGTTGAGTGGCCAGGGGCCGGGGATATTTTTGTATTTGTATTTCGTTAGTACAAGAATAAAGTAATTCCGAATTACTACCACCATTGTTGTTGTGGTTATGTTACACCTGCAACTTTATTTTCTCTCGCCCACCTTTTATTCCCCATTCTCCTGGACTTTCTACCACACTCAGGAATGTGGTACCATCCACTTTGGGAACCCTAGAGTTAGGTTAATCCTTTTTTCGGTTTAGTTTTTTGCAAGAACATTCAAGATATTGACGTTTTGAATGCAAAGACTCACTCCTGTCAGACCGCTGCGCTGAACATAGAGCCATATCCATCTCTTAAGAGGCAGTAACACCGGTAACATGTCCAGCGATCGCTTCAACAGTAATCGTATTAAATCAACGGCATGCAATTTCGTGATTAAAACATCTTGCACACCTATTTTTCCGTTATCCAACCAACCGGGAATTGCCCACAAGTCTTTTCTTTCTCCTAACCCTACCTTATGATTTTCCCCTTTCTTTTCTAAATCATCCTGTTCCTACATCCGGTTTCCTGGCTGGTCCAATCCGGAATTTAGAGGATCACCGATCAAGTTCACTTTGTTAATATGGCGAGTTGTGCTGCACTCTTCACTGATATAGCAGGAAGATAAGGATTGGTGGTTGTAGGTGGGACAAAAGCGTATTGGCAAAACTAGGAAGAGTTTTAGGAAGAAAAATAAAAATAAACTGGAAAAAAATATTAAAGAATAAAAGAGAAAAGAATGACATGGATGGAAAAGGAAAGAAAGAATTGCTAGAAAGAAAGGATTATAATGATAATAAAGAAAAAGGATAGACGGTGTTAGAGAGAAAAGAAAAAAGACAAAGAAAAGATTGATGGAACGAAAGAATGAGCGGACGGACGAAAGAAAGAATTGATAGAAAGAAAGGATCAATGGAGGAATAGAAGAAAGAAAGAAAGAAAGAAAGAAAGAAAGAAAGAAAGAACAAAGAAGTTCAAGTTTGGTATCTAATGTATAGAAAAAAAATGGAAAGAAAATCCCACAAAAAATGAAAAGTAAGCAAATATTTAGAAAATTGAAAAAGAAAAAGAAACACTGAAAGAAACGCGAACGAACAAATGAAGAAAGAAATCAGAAATAAATAAATAAAGAAGGAAAGAAAGAGTTTTAAAAAAGAAAAACAAAGAAAACGCTTCGAAAAGAAAGAAAGAAAAAAGAAAGAAAGAACTCGCTGTAAAAAAATGTATAAAAATCTAGGAAGTGTATGGACATTGAAACGGAGAATAAATAATTCAAATTTCCTTTCAAAATCATCATGTGGAATTGTTGTCTGCCCGGAGTTTTTAATTGCTCTTTTATTGACAATTAGGAGGTTAATCATCGCGCACATGTGCAGCTGGGTCAGGATCGTCGTCAGATGGGGTCGGGATAGCAGTCGCTGGGGCCAGAGATACCTTGCAGCCGTCGCCATACGAAATAAGTGAAGGGAGAGCATGACAGATCGGCAGGGGCTTCGACCGGGATTATCCAAGAAGGCACGGATGACTGCAACCAAAGTGCTCCCCGTTTGCCTGAATGCGTGTGTGTCACAAAGATTCCGATTAAAAGTGAATTTCAATTTGTCACTACATTTTTTTTTGTGTGTGTGTATCTGTGTTATTTTTTACTAACATTATTTCGATCACTCACCAACTTTCTTGTTTCTTTTCGGTCTTTCTTTTTGTATTCGCTTTCTTTCTTTCTTTTTCTTTCTTTCTTTCTTTCTTTCTTTCTTTCTTTCTTTCTTTCTCGTTTTTTCAAATTTTCTTTTGAGATTTTGTTAGTATTAGCGAAAAACTTCCCGTTATATTTTTTATTGTCATTTATTCCTGTAAGCATTCATTTTTCCTTCATTCTTTATTGTTTCACACCTTCGCCAAGTTACTTATTTTTTATAAACTGCTATCTTTTCAATTTACCTTTTTTATTTTTTATTTTTTTTTACTTATTTTTCTTTTTTCCCTTTTCTTTCTTTGTTCCTTTTTCTTTCTTTTTTCTTTTTTCTTTCTGTTCCATTTGCTTTTTGCTTTTTTTTGCCACGAATTCTATTTGGCATTCAATTTTATATCTTTAAATTTTCTTAATTTTTTTCAATTTTTTCTTTCATTCCTTCTTTTAATCATCATTTTTTGTTCTTTTTATGCACTCTTCCTTCCCTTTTTTCCTCCCTTTCTTCTTTCTTTCTTTTGCTGTTTTCTTTCTTTCTTTTGCCTTTCCTTGTTTTCTCTAATTTATTCTCTTTCTTTTTAACTTTCATTTTAGCTTGAATTAATAGCATTTTCTCTCACTTTTTTCTTGTTTTCTTTTCGACATCTTCTCAGATTTTAATTTCTTTTAGCCTTGTCATATATTTCCTTTTCTTCCTTCACCCTTTCTAATACTAATTATTCCTTCATAGCCCTCTCGTCTTCTTTTCATTCTTACCCGTCTTATTATTTTTCCCTTCCGTATTCTTTGCTTTCACTAAATGAAATTCATCTCGACGTGAAAGAAAGGGTTACTTTCATCATTCACATAAATAACCTGTCAAAACAGTCACTTAAAATAACACCAAGTTGTAATATAATATTTCCAATATCTTTCCGACAAACCTGGATCTTATTCTTTTTTATACACAGTCCAGTGCGATTTGTTCATTACTTGTGTAACTTTAGTCGAGTCAAAAAACAAAATTCCCATTAATATTGTTTCAAAATGACAGCGCGCGAAACGCCAGAACCCTGCAGACGACACTAATGTCTCCTTTGAACCTTTTCATTTTCTTTTTCCTTAACTCCCGCGACGAAACAAACAAACAAATAAAATCAGGTTTGCTTCTGCTTCCTTCCCATTAAAGAGCAGCTGGTTTGTTTCTGAAGACGTGCGTGTGCATGAGAGAGAGAGAGAGAGAGAGAGAGAGAGAGAGAGAGAGAGAGAGAGGAACGAGAATGTATTCTGGTGTGTGTTTTTTGTTTTGTTGAGATACGCCATTTTGTTTAAAAGATTTGTATTTGCCTTCCGAGCTTTATTTCCAGTCAATGTACTGACCGTCACTCACATGTGAGTAACGAGAAAGTTTTAAGAAAAATGACAGTAAAAAGGTGAATCAGAAAGAGATAGTCGAAATTTCTAGGACGCATAATGAGAAAAGTGGGATTGGATGGTTTGACACTCACAGGACGTATTGAAGGTAAAAGGAGCAGAGGTAAAAACGAGTAATCTACCTAACGGGTTTGTGAATGGGTGACAGAAAGGGAATGGGAGAAGTGCCGAAACGTAATAAATATGACGACAAAGATGAGGACAATAGTCCAAATAATGTAAATAATGTACATAAACTCATCTCAGAAATATAGACAGATACTGAAGGGGTGAAGCGTTGTAATAAATATGGGACAAAGATGAGGACAATAGTCCGAATAATGTAAATAATGTACCTCATCTCAGAAATATAGACAGATACTGATGAAACGTTGTAATAAATATGGCCAAAGATGAGGACAATAGTCCAAATAATGTAAATAATGTACATAATCATCTCAGAAATATAGACAGATACTGAAAGGCCGAAACGTTGATAAATATGACGACAAAGATGAGGACAATAGTCCAAATAATGTAAATAATGTAATAAATCATCTCAGAAATATAGACAGATACTGAAGGGGAAACGTTGTAATAAATATGACGACAAAGATGAGGACAATAGTAAATAATGTAAATAATGTACATAATACCTCATCTCAGAAATATAGACAGATACTGAAATGCCGAAACGTTGTAATAAAATGGCGACAAAGATGAGGACGTCCAAAAATGTAAATAATGGACAATACCTCATCTCAGAAATATAGATGAAGGGCCGAAAAGTGAATAATGTAAATAATGTACATAATACCTCATCTCAGAAATATAGACAGATACTGAAAGGCCGAAACGTTGTAATAAATATGGCGACAAAGATGAGGACAATAGTCCAAATAATGTAAATAATGTACATAACACCTCATCTCAGAAATATAGACAGATAAAAGGCCGAAACGTTGTAATAAATATGACGACAAAGATGAGGACAATAGTCCGAATAATGTATAATACCTCATCTCTCCGAAACGTTGTAATAAATATGGCGACAAAGATGAGGACAATAGTCCGAATAATGTAAATAATGTACATAATACCTCATCTCAGAAATATAGACAGATACTGAAATGCCGAAACAACAAAGATGAGGACAATAGTCCGAATAATGTAAATAAGACCTCATCTCAGAAAATAGACAGATAGAAAGGCCGAAACGTTGTAATAAATATGGCGACAAAGATGGACAATAGTCCGAATAATGTAAATGACTTCATCTCGGGAATATAGACAGATACCAGCAGATATTGTTGAACTAAGACAACAAGGAAAAACACAGAGGAAGAAGTAATTCAACTCCGATTGGTAGAAGGACTGTACAACATCTTTCATAGAGTGAAAATTTTAGAGCGGTCGCAGACAAATCAAATGACTTTAGAAGCTTGTATTGACTTCATACAACACCTTCCTTGTTTTTATACGATGTTGGCTTCACCAGAGGTAAAATTATAAAGTTAACTAATTGTGGAGAGCCATGATCGCTAACGTCCTGAAGGGACACGACACATAAAAGAAGGAATAACTTTGTTTCATTATTGGTCATTCTATCCCTTGTTTGATGCAAGTTTGTCTTCTTTTTGGTATTATTATTAATAGTATTATTAATTCGTATGTTTAGAAAAAAAGAAAAGCAAACCAAAAACGACATATTCAATCAACTACGAATCTATATATATAAAGTTGTAGTCTGTTAGTTTGTTATCGAACTCTTCCTAGGGTTTTGGAGATAGGCCCCCCACCACCCTATAATCATACATATTCTGAAACTATATTAGCCACGATATTTGGATATTTGATCCCTCCATCGCAAGAGTCATATATCGTTCTGAGACGATTTAACAAGATAATCACATACACTCTCTCTGTGTCTAGAATCCAGTGTTTGAGTTTTTTTTTTTACTTTTCTTTTCTGTAACCCGTTTCTCTTCTCTACTATTTTTTTCTGCTATATAAAAGATATTACCATTGAATCGATGTTTGTCCGGATTTCTACAGATATTAATTTTTTTTTTTTTTAGCTGCATTCTAAATTTCGCAGCCTCTCCAGCTACATCTTCAGTCGACCATGATTGGACGGACATCACTTCTGCTTTCTGGATCAAACAAATCACAACGCGGGCAGGAAGCAGGATTAAACCAGCGGACTGGTCGAATAATCTATAGATGCTCAGGGGACCTATGGCCACTCCCTTAAGTTCGGTTAGGACCAAGTAGACACCTCGTGCTTACGGTCAAATCACGCTGAAACACCGGTTCTCGTTCGATCACCGAAGTTAAGCATAGTAGAGCCAGGTCAGTACTTAGATGGGGGACCGCTTGGGAACACCTGGTACTGTAATCCCCAAAGTCCAACCCTTACCTCACAGTCGGTGGGGGTGTAAACGGAAGTGAAAGAGCTGTTGCCCGGAACTTCGTTCCCTACCAGGAACGAAGTTCCGGGCGGCATAGCTGACAGGTCTGACACACATGCCGGCTAACAAGGGCTCTGGTGAAAATCCAAGGAGCGTCTGCATCGGTAACCGGCGGCTTCTGGTTGTTCCTGTCTCTGCGTCTGTGGGAACCCCGCGGCAAGCAAGAACGTTATCCGAGTAGGCCTGGGTACCCTACTTCTGTAATTTATCCCAAGAATATTCTTCTCATAACAGGAAGAAGCCGGCTCAATCCGCCCAGGGTGAATGCCGCATCAGTAGTAGTAGTAGTAAGTAGACACCTCAGTCCAGAGAGTAAGACGCCGGAGGTTGAAGGGCCGAGGCAAAAGTGTTAGACAGGACCCAGCAATCTTTTTTTTCCAAAAAAAACAAAAAAAAAAAAAAAAAAAACGGTACCGTCTTTAATAAGCCTTGGATAATTAAAAATGGCTTTTACTTTTTGATTATGTCTACCTTTTTAAAAATATTCGAAATAATTAGATTACTGAACCTACTTCCGAATTACTGTTTTATTCTGAAGGGAAAAAAGATTGCAGCAAAATGGGAAATTGCAAAAGGTCTTTTTGAGTATGAAAAAACTCAATTTCTTAAGCTGTCGAAACTAAATGATGTAGCAATTTAGCCAAGATCTGTTGAGCGACAAAATGTTTCATATTGTTTCAAAATCTTTTGTGATAAAAATGTAACTGCCATTAAAACGCATCCATTATTAGATTGGGAGGGTACTGCAGAAACCGTTAATTTTACTGAAAAAGTTTTAAAATTGTCAGCGTCAAAGAAATATATGGTGACACTAAGAAAAATTATCCACTGAAAAAGGTGATTTCAGATTTATATGATGAACATTTGTTATTTCTTTCTAATTTTGGAAAAAGGATAAAAAGTATTGGAGGAAATCAAGAACGAA